AATTAGGAAAAGCACGGTTGAAACCCATTTCCCTTGGAGTAAAAACCTATGGCTTGTTCAGGTGCACCAAAATACAATCAGATAAATTCGTATTTCTATACACTGGAACTGCTTCATCCAAACTAAACAATAATATTGCATTTTAAGCTTCTTTAATGAATTAGCTATCTGTTGTTAATTTAGAAGTAGTTCATTGGAACACAGGTTGTGTGCTGGGATGACTAGACAAAAGAGTGACACTTCTAAAATCACCGTTCAAGTGAAAGTGTGGGTGTTTCTGTTGTCTTTTGAGACTGTTTCCTCCTTTTTTAAACTAAAAATTTCACTTTAGATGAAGGACAAGGATATGTTTTGGTTAAATCACTGTAATAGCACTGAAAAAATGACTCACTTTAGGGTATTCCTGAATACATAAATACAAATAAGACAGGCCCAAGCAACAGTTTTAATGCCAGCATGGTTTTTTGAGCTGAACAAAGCAAGAACATATGTAGGTGCTTATGGTGGTGATACACTACTGTGGGTTAGTAATTAGACTTTTGTAAAGGAAGCACTACTCCCATATTTTGTTCCTCAACAAAGATGTCTACACACAGCTCCATTACAAAATATGCTGATTTTTATCTGTCTGATCTGCCTCCTGCTGAGTTAAAGAGGCAGCTTTAAGGTCAGCATACAAAAACCCTCATACTATATACATTTCTTTAATGTCTTTATTGCTAAATTTTCTTAATTCTTTTGGTTGGCAGAAAGTATCCTGAATAAAATTCTTCTCTTCTTCTGTCTAATAGAAACAAATTCTGAGGTTCTCTTGTTTAACAACTGTGCAACCTCTTGCATCAAGATTAAACACTTTGTTTTGTCCCCGGGCAGTTGTATATTTATTACTCTTGAGGCAGTGCTATTTGAAATAAATGGAATTGAAAGATCCTGAGAAATGGTTTCTGAAACACATATATTGAGTTATTCTCTCCTATGTGAGCACAAAATGCTTCTGATGCTTCTCCCTGCACCCTTGTGAAGGAAAATAGCTGATATAAAAATATCACATGATGGGGGTGGTGAAAAGGTAAGCATTTTTATCTTCAGTCACTGAGGCATTTTGCTGCTTATTGTCCTGAAAATAATTAGGTTATCTTTATGAAATGTATTACTATTCACTAAAGATAACATAGGTAAGGGCAGAATAAAGGACAAAATAAAAGATAAAAGGAAAAGTCTCTCCTTTTCCGCTTCAAAAAGTACAATATGAAAACAAAAAAAAATTAATCCATGGCTTGGAAGTAGTCTTAAAAACTTCTCAAGATTCAGATATATATTTTGGGCTGGTGACAGGGCTTATCTCTTCTCCCTGATCAAAATAATAAATGCTCACCAAGAGAAAAAGTTCTTTTATGTTATAAGGAAAACAATTTCCATGTAGCTTTTGTGTGTGTGTACGCATATTCATAAAATATGGATTAGCAGCACTAGGTATTCAGCTAAGTAAATATTCATAAAATAAAGGTGAAATTGATATGCATTTCCCAATAGAGAGTAATAAGCATATTTTGATTTCTTAGTAAAACATCAGACTGAGGGGAGAGAAAGCACTTTCTTTTGCCTGGACATGTTTTGTTCCTCATTCTCATTGTGTTGATCCTGCTGGCGAAGATTTCCTGACATTTTGAATAAACAGTATTGCAACTCTTGCTAAATGTGGAAGAATCAGGTCTATGGCTTAAAACATAAGATAAAAAGACATTTGGGATCTTTTTTTTTTTTTCTTTGATTCTAGCTTTTGTCTTTGGGGCACATTAAAGTTGCATATTTAAGGGGTTTTTATATATATATGAGAGATAGATATGCCTTTTTTACTAAAATCTTATATTCTCAGAAGTGTGGGTTCTGAAGCCTTGTTAGCAATATGTGCTAACACCTCTTAGAGGACTCAATAAATAAGATATGTGCTGCAGTCATGAACTGTATATGTAGGTATTCCTGCAGTACACATGATCATTTAGAGTAATAGAATGGAACTGTTTCTGAATAAACTGAAAATTAAGTGGATGTTCTAAAGCCCTACCTGAGAGGTCTCAAGAGCAGGTCTGTTGAATCAGGGAAAAATTACACATTGGTATGCAAACAGGCAAACATTTTAAAAAAATCAAATCCTTGAAGCAAAACGAAATGTAAATAGGGTTTGTTTTTTCTTGTTTTTTTTGTTTTTTTTGTTTTTTTTTTTTGGGGTTTTTTTTGCTATTGATTTTATTTAATGTCTAATGGTTTACCTTAGGTTCCTGTGTTCCAGAAACAGAATGTTTCAAACCCAAAGTTGAAGAATATGTCTTCCTAGAATTAGTATTTGATTTAAAATATCAAATGATATGTTTGGAATGCGTCTCATTCTTTATTTCTGTTGATATAGATTCTTTGTTTCACTTGAGCCTGTTTGTAAAAACTATTTCACCTACAAACTATGAGGTCTTTGTTCTACTCATTTTATGGGCTTTGCTGATTTATGCATTTATTAATGCATGGGCTATGTGTGTTCAGCAGTGTAATTTCTGTGTGGTCATTGCCAATAAGGAAAACAAAAGCAAAACTGCTTTTGTCAACTGGCATGGAGCTGGGGTGAGCCAGCAAATAAATGGTATGTATTTAAAGGGTATTTTTTTAATTTTAGAGCTGTTAGAGGAAAGATGAACATTGTCATATAGTTTGAATTTTTGTTTTATAAATTAGGCCATCATCTGCATGCCACTGATCATTTTCACATGCTGAATAAATTAGAACCACTATAAATGATGGCAGCAATCTCCACTAACAGAGCTTGTTGATACCTGCTTGTTGGAGTCTATTATTTAAAATAATTCCTTTGGCTTTGTCAATGTTTACACAGGCCAGCATCTTTAATGTTGATTTAAGGTTATCTCTATGTTCCATAACTAGAATACAGAACATTTTTATTGATTTCTTAGCCACACTCTTCTACTTTACTATCCATAAATGAATTTTGATTCATAAAAGAAAAACCCTGGGAGTCAAATGTCAGCTATCATCCAATATATTGCTCTCTGCTGCAAGTAAAATAGTCTGCATCTCATCTTGAAAATATAATGCATGTAAGTCTTCTCTGAAAGAATTTCAATAAAATATTGATGTAAGCACTTTTTTTTTTACTTTGTTTGATAAGGTATTTTGAAGATATGGACAACAGCACAAAAGAAAGCTTGGAGTCAATTCCATTTCACATTTTGTATTTTTTTTTTTTTTTAGCTTTTCCACAAAAGGTGGATGTTTTATTTTTGTTAAAGAAAATACTCTGTTGTACTGTCTTGAGTGATCTGTCTTAGTAGATTTTGTGCTGGGAGTTATGATCAAGCTAGCAAAGCCTAAGAACAAACAAAACAAGTACTGCACACCCTCCTCTGGATATCACATTTGTTACTTATATCACATTCAGGTGCTCTTAAAGAATGTGTTTCTACACAATGCTTTTAAATTTTTTCCTCCTAAGTGTGTGGCTTGCTAATATGTGTTATTAAAATGTTTCGTTCTGTTTAAAGACAAGGTGGTAATTCCATGAACAATCTAACCTGATTTTCTCTTCATCCTTGACAGCCTGAAAACAGACAAAGAAAGGCAGCTCATAATAAGAAATCTGATGCCACCTGGAAAATTTGGACACCACAGAAGCTAGAAAAACAACACCTAGCGATTTACACACATGGAAAAAGGTGTATTGCAATTGATGTGGGGTATTTTTGTGGTTATTTTTAGGTTTTTTTTAACAGAAATCCAGATAATTGACATGTGTAGTGCTCCCCTTGTCCACTGATGAAGTCTCTCCATTAAAGATGGGTGCAGTGCTTCTCCTGTTCCTGTCACCTGGCACCTCACCTGACAGAAATCAGGTGATTGCACTCCATTCTTTTAATTCTTTTGCAGAAATCAAAGGCAAATGGTGTGATTTTTTTGTGGAACAAATTAAAAAATGGTGATCACTAGCATTGCAGCGAATATCAAATGAATATATAATAACAGAACATTAGGAAACAATTAGAAAAAGTGCCTAGACATTATTAATTCATGCACTATTCATTGTACCAACATTGATCATGTGAAAGAAGTGTGGTGTTAGTTACATTTTAATCATTCAGTGTTGAAGAAGGACTAATTATTTTCAAATAGCGATGGGAAGGATCCAGTTTTATAAAAAAATCATGGAATGTCTCATTTACTCCCGCAGCATTTTAATAGGGGAAACACATGGCTGCCATTATTTGTAGGACAATGGAGGATATCACAGCAATTGCTCATGTTTCAACTCTTGCAAAGAAGGTAGAGGTTACTTTCCTCATGGACTTGGGGTCAGTGAGGGGTATACCTGCAGTAGATACAACTGGACCACAAAGGGAGTAGGACTGGGTGCTTCCCTCTCCCTGCTGCCATTTTCCTCCACTGGGGAAAGAATTTAGGCGCTTCCAGTCCTCTCTGAAAAAAATAAGTTGCACATATCTCCTTGGAAAATCACCTCTGATCTTACACAGGGGTACACCTGAGATTAAAACTGAAAGTTTGGCGCCTCCTTCATAAGAAAGTTTCTTGGGTTGAGGCTTTCTGAGGATGCTCAGGTAAGGTGCTCAGGGATTTAGAACCTGGTGAAACAGTTGAGAATTAGAGAAGCAGATGCTGATATACTCCATGGCCAAGATGCCCAACTCCAAGCCCATTTGTGTGGCAAGCACATTTCTTTCCCTCTCAGGATTTTTCACAGAGGTGCACGGAGAGAAATGAAAGAGAAAACAATTTCTATTTCTGCTCCTTGTTTTTCCCATGTTGAATGTGTTTGGAGAATTGTTTACCTGGGTGAGTGCTTGGTTGGATTCTGGTGAGGATTGTTTGAGCTGATGGCCAATCCAACCCTCCTGGGACTGGATTCTCAGAGAGGGTCACCAGTTGTGTTAGAGTCAGAGAAAGTAGTATTTAGTTTTAGTACCCTCCTTTTATATAGCATATTAATGTATTTTAGCATAGTTATAATAAAGAAACAATTCATGAGTCAGACATCATCATTCCTTCCCATTGGGTTCACCTGCATTTACAACACATTTATATGTTTTCTATGTGATAGCTCCTTGGTTTTTGTTCTCCCTTCCTCCCTTCTCTAGGCAAAGTACCTCATAAATGCTTCCAAATGGAGAGGTGGATCTCTAAGGACTTCTCTGCCACCCAAATGCATCTCTGAGAGCTTTTCTTCCTGGTGTGGCATCCTCATGGATGGGGCTTGGTGGGTTTGCTTTGAAAATAACATGTGTCTCACTCTTATTCCTGTGTCTTTCCATAACCAGTGGTTCAGGAGACCTCAGAGCACCTGTAATGATACAGTCAAAACACAGAAGGACAGCTGGGTGATTGATGAGAATCAGTAAGCTAAATCTGATATTATTTAAATGGTAAATTCACTTTAAATAAATTATGCCTGGGAAAAGCTCAAGAACATGGGTTTAGATCAGTGTAAACAAAGCCTGCTGTAGCTTTTTGCTTTATACTTTTTCTATTTTGCATGTTAGAGAAAAATAAAGATCAACCTGTAAACCATAGTAACATAGAGTTAGTATTGTATCAGGTTTACTTTGGTATATTGTCTTTTTTGTAACCTCTGGGTTTGGTGTATTTATGTTACTTGGAGACAAAAATAACACATATTTTCTGTGTGTGGATTGGTTGGTTTAAATTCACAAAAAAAAGCAACACGTTATTGCTTTGGTATTGGACTCCGAGCGGATGCTTTTCATTATATTATCTTCCTCAGTTTCATATAGTATTGATGAAATTGAAAATCAGTGACCTGACAAAGACAAAATAATACGGCATGAAAATTGCTACCATGATTTCATGCTGTGTTAATGCAAGGATGTCATTCCTGCTTCAGAATAATAACAGTGTTTTGCTTCTGAACTTACAGCATCTCTCTCTCCCTCTCTTCCTCTGCCCACCCCTCCTTTTCCTTTTCAATAGAATTGATGCCACTATGAAATTCTTTTTTATCACACATATTGGTTGTTTGTTAGTGAGTAACCAGTACTAACAGGTAATTTTTTTGAAGAAGAGAGTGGAATCTGTGTATTGCATAAGCATATGCAGAAATGCAGAAAGAAGCAGGCTTAACAGTCATTATAACATGGCTAATTGCAGAATCTGGGAATTTTTTATAGTCATTCTTCTTCAAAGAACCATCACTCAGGATGTGTGGCAGCACTCTTTGAATTCCCACAGGTCACTGCTTGTCTTGGAATATGCAGAAGTGATATTTGCTCTCTGTTCTCAACAATTCCTATTTTCCTACAGGTGCCAGAAAAGACTAGAGGAAAGGCACTAAATTCTGATTAACACACACACACACTGAACTTGCAACGTTGTGATTTAGTTTCATATTTTATCTGGTTAGAGACCTCCTTATTGAACCTTTCTACCTTGCCAATAATGGTAAAGCCTACAAATGAGATGTAAACATTGCATGAAATGTGAGGAGGCACTTGGCAAATCCTGCCTGGTGGGAAGCATGTCTTTCAGGTCCTGGATAACCTGGTCAGACTCTGCCATCATAAAGAGTAGCTATGTCTCCTGTACTTCACAGAGGAGATGGAGCCCCCTCCTCATGCTCTACTTGCCTCAAGAATAGAGGTCAATTTAAAAAAAAAAAAACCAAATAGACCTGTCCCACTCCCCCCACCCAAGAAATATTGCATTCAGAGCAGGGAGCTGAAGGGCTGCTGGTACAAAAGTCTCTCTCTATGTTTGTTTGTTCACAGTTAAAGCATTCACCCACAATACTTGAGGTCTGAACCAGCTCACAATCTGTTCTCACATACAAGGAGTGTCCTCGACCTGGGTTATTTTAGGCAGAAAATCATGTATGATCCAGTGAGCCAGAGAGAAAATACATGTGAACATGAGGCTTAGTGGTCTGTATTCACCTGAGGGCTCCAGTTTCTATGTTAAGGACAGACTCAGCTCTGATGTCAGCTTCTGACACAGCAATTTGAAGTTCTCTTCCCAGCTAGGGTAGTTCACATGCTGCAGAATTATCCAGTTTAGCATTGTCCTCTATAACTTAATTATATTCTCCATTCTCCATGAGGAGAAAGGAGAATGTCCTGATGGGTGTGGTAACCCACCTCTTTTGAAACAGATGGGAACTGATACCCTATATCAATACCTCTGACCATAGGAAATAATTCAATCAGCCTGGAAGAGTGTTCTGACTGTTTATGAGCTGTTTTGTAGGGTCTAATAAGAGTTACCTCATATTAGCTTAACTGAAAAAAAACCAAGGACAACCTCTCCTTTATTTTGGAAGAGGTAATATTGGTCATTTCTTACTTAAGACAGAGGTTTCTGTGAAGTCACACTTCTATTCTGGATGCTTCTTATTAATGATCATGAATGGTTTTTTGCTGAGCAGGTTATTTGGCTCACCAGCTGACTTATCCTTTTGTCAGGTTCTCTTCTTAGAATGATTTTCAGAATTTTTAATCTCTATCAGATAGCATTAGGGCAAATATAAAATAGGTGATAAAATAATCTCCTTCCCAAAGATAGGTTTTATTTGCTGAATTAATTTTATTCTGGAACTGAGTGTTTGAAATCCATCACTAACTCCTGCTTGCCTTTCAGCCTGCCTGAAGCTCTCTGTGCTTTGTCTCACTAATAAAGCGTTGTGTGGTTCAGTTTTATGTTTGTTTCTTAAACTGCTCTTCCCCGTTGCCACTGTTTGTTCTGGCTGTTTGGGATTTCAGCATCTCTTGTTTGCTCTCCTCCCCTGCTGCCTTTCCATTCCTGCAGCCCTCTGGGCTTTTGCTGTGAACTGCCCATCTGATGGGTTTCCTGCTGACTTTATCTGATTGCTGCAGCTCTAGCATTAGCTGCACTGAACACTGGAGCACCATCCCTGGGCTCCAGGCTGCCTGCTGGGAGGTGCTCCAGCCACTCCAGAACCCGACCTAGCTCTGGCACTGGCTGCTATCAACCAGGCAGGGCAAAAGGAATTTTTTTGGTCGGTTCTTTCATTTTTTACATACCTATGCCAAAGGATTCTTCATGTTTTTATTTGGTTTTATTTTATTTTATTTGGTTATTTAGTTATTTGGAGTTTGCTGTTACAGCAGCATAGATTAGAACTTCTTCATTAAGAACTTTCATGGCTTTGTGGTTTTTACTGAATATGATGAGGGTTGTTTTCCCTTTGGTGAACAACATCTTTTTTCCACCACAGATAGAATGTTTTCAATGAATATGATCTGTTCATAATTACTTGTTATGAAAAACAGATTTGGATTACTGATAGAAGCATGAGGTGAAAAAAGAGGTATAGAGTCTAACATTCTTTGTGATAGTATTTAAATTTACCATAACATTAAACCCTGAATTTGAATGACATAAATGGATTTAAAACTTTGTGGAGTTATTCATTCAGTCTGGCATCTTCTTTTAAAATTCTTCCGCAGTTAGAAGAGAAAACTTTTTCTAATGCCAGATTATATGCTAATAAAATGTCACATTTAAAACCAGGAGGTTTTAAAACCAGGTAGTTTCACAGGAACTGTGAAGTACACAGCTGGTTCCAAAGAGAAGTTGTAATATTCTGATTTATTTTGTTTATACCTATATAATTTGTCTTTCAGTTCAAATACAAGAATGGGCGGTATTCAAATACATTGTGAATGCAATGGGTCAATTTCACATTTGGGAGAACAAGTTCAGATAAAAAACAAGATATGCGTTATTAATGAGCTTAATTTGTCATTGAAACAATGTTTCTTCAAATGTGGTGGTTATTTGTTGTCAGGACCCTAAATTGCACCTGTATATCCTCCTAAAATAATCAGCAATTGGAACAGCATGGTTTGGTTTGATGCAGAATTGCTCCGATTTTTGGTGAATTCTATAGATGCTATCTGGCTCGATAAACAGATTTGTTTTTTAATTCCTGAAGGCACACTGTGCAACAGCTTTACAAAAATTTAAATTGGGCTACTGGGTCCCTAAACTGAGTGCTCCAGGCCAGGGGCTGCCCTGTCTCTCTCCCTGTGGGGAGGTGAAAATCTGGGAGCATCCCACCTCTGCGGGGTCAGATGCAAAACAAACTCCTCTGCACAAACCCACAGCAGCTGCCAGGCAAACTGGCTGCACAGCCACGGGTAGGGTTTGCTTTTTGTTTTTGTTTTGTGTTGCTTTAGGGGCGATTTCAAGCGGTGCTTTCCAAGAACACGCATCAGTGGTTTTCCAAAAGCCTTCCAGAGATCTGAACTAATCTGCCACAGTGCACATCACCTCCTTGTGGTATCCCTGTGGATAGTGCTGCTTTTCCTGCTTCCTTTTATTAAACATGATGTGTTCAGAGAGGGTTAATCCAGAAACCATCCATGTCTCCTGCAGAAACAACAATAGAGAAGGTTAATCCAGAAACCACCCATGTCTCCTGCAGAAATGGGAATGCCAATTTTGGCCAGTTACTGACATAGGATTTAAACAGCAAGAAGAAAATTCTTCCTGCTTATGATCAGGAAGGTACCTAGCAATATTTTTTGGTAGGTGCAGGCTGGTCACAGCAAATGGCAAAGTAGTAAATCTCTTCCAGGTATTTATGTTTTGCTTTAGGTTGCAGAAAATTCCACAATTCTACTTTTTTATTGCATAGCTTGCTCCAGCTAGTTGCTGTACAATTACTGAATTAGAAAGTCAAGTGAATTTATAAAATAGTGCAAAATAGGTGTTTCTTCATGGACACATTTGCTTTGCTGTTGGAATACATGTGTAGTGATACAGTGCTTTGTGACATTGATGAATACTTGCTATTATAAAAATAAAAATAGAAGAGATTTTTCTCCAATTTATTCTATTTTAGGATTTAGAGAAATTAAGCTTCCTTCACTTTTAATTGTGTTTTGCAGAGAATCTCTATCTCTTCATCTCTGTGAAGCTTCTCCCTATTAGTTCACCCACTGGCACTGGCTGGCATGGAGCCTGTGGAGCCTGCAGTTGGCATTCTGCAGCTCAGAGGGGTGTGCTCAGAAAGCAAAACCCAAATTTTGCCAACGTATGTGCAACTGGCTTTGACTCCAGGGCAGGCGATTTGCACTTAGGCTACACAATAAATTGATTTGTCAGCTCAGTGACCGACTTAAAAATAAATAAATTAAAATGGTTTCAGCTGGAAAGAAACAGATCCCTCTTTACTCCTCCCCACTTTTGTTGTTTTTTTTTTTTTTTTTTCCCAGCAAATTAAAGCAAGATGCTTTTTTCGAGCACAAGAAAAAATTAATTCTCAGACATTTTAGATAAAAGTAAAAGCTAGATTTTAGGACGATATAGGCTCTATCAGAAAAGAGGTGCTGCACTTTTCTTATGTATATTGGATCAGAAGCACTCCAAATCTCTACTGATTTTAAGGAGATTATTCCCCCTCCCCGCCACTTAACTTAAAAGAAAATGACACAACTGTGGAGTTATATGCTATTACAGAATGTTGTGCCTTTCTGTTGGAACATCTCCACTATGTATTAGCTGCTTAAACTTCTCTTTTGGTCAGCAGCACAAAACTGCTGCTAAGAACATTCCCAGCTTACTGTATTAATGAATCCAAGTGCTCAGTAGAAAAGAAATGATAGACTGAGGGGGCATTACCCCACAGTTCTTCATTATTTTGTGCATAAGGTATTTTTCTAAATGCTTGATTTGGTTCAGAGAGAGATTAGATTTGAATATGAACCTCTGATGTTCTAATTGTTGGTCTGCAAAGCCAGAAAGCTCCTTTTTGGGCAGAATATTGCAAAACTAATAATTGTTAAAATATTGGGGGAAAATAAGAAGCAGCCACTTTGCCATAAGCAGATCAGTGTCTGCACCTGCCTGAAAGGAGATTGTGGCGAGGTGGAGGTTGATGTCCTCTCCCAGGTGACAGTTTATATGATGAGATGAAAAAGCCTCATGCTGCACTGGAGAGGTTTAGATTGGATAGCAATAAAAATGTCTTCACTGAAAGGCTTGTCAGACATCAGAACAAGCTGCCAAAAGAAGTGGTTGAGTCACCACCCCTGCAGACTTTTAAAAGACATGTAGATGTGGCCCTTGGGGACATGGTTTAGTGGCAGTGTTTTGCAGTGCTGAGCTAAAAGCTGGACCCTTAGAGGTCTTTTCAAATTTCAGTGATTGTATGAACACTGGAGTCATACAATCACTGAAATTTGAAAAGGAAAAATTGAAAAGGAAAATTTGTGAGTCTTGTTTCTTTTGTATTATTTGGTGGGAGTTACTCAGTGTGGACTTGCCTTGATTTTCTATTTGCTTGAGTTTGGAAAGGAGAAGACACATAGCTTCCAGACTGAGAGTTTAATATATCTGAAATGTATGGTGAAACTTTTCTTGGTCATGTGAGTGGTATTATCTTGCATTGTTATAAGTTTAGCATGGTGATATTTTAATTCTTGCAAAATTCTCTACTACATTTATTCATCCAGAAGATATTTTCCCTTTTAAAATAGGTAAGACAACATAGTATGTCTCTGAAAGTATTACTCTCATAAAAAATTGTGAGACAGCTCCAGAAAATATTCTTGAATCTAAGCTTCATAAGTAAAGACAGTTGTATGGAGTAATTATTCTGTCATTATTCCTTTTATTCATTCCTTTGTTGAGACAAGTTAGTGCAAAATCTTACCTGCCTGGTCTGGCATAATGATTCTAAGTCAGTGGACAAGCTGTCATGATTTCAGTCTCCTTTTGAGATCCTCTCTCACCATTTTTCTGGCACTCCTAGTGCCTGGGATGGTATTTTTAAATAGCCCCTGAGCTGTGCCGTTTAACACTGACATTTCACTCAGTTTGCACAGCCTCCCTTTGTGTGACAGATAATTTAAACCCTGTGGCCCTGTTCCAGCATAGTTTCCCCATCCTCTTCAGGTGGGCAGCCCCTTACCTGAAGCCACAACCCACTTGCTGAAGAAATCTGGTTACATGACCTCGAATAATTTATCTGCTTGTATTTTCCCAGGATTTGCAGAAGCAATGGCCTTGAAGGCCAGTGGTGTAGGGAAGAGCATCGTTGGGAATGCTCAACTCCTCACGATGGAGGGAGTGCTTCCCTGTGTGAGCCTGGCACTGGATTTTTGCAGGGTATCCTGAGACAGCTCTGTCTGCTCACAGTGTGTGAAAACCAGCTCAGGACAGCTTGTAAGGGCTCCCTCTTTCCAAATCCTTTTCCTCCCTGCCAGAAGGTTCAGGGGACAAGAAGCTTAGGCATCTGTTTCAGAGCAGAGCCCCAAGCAGCTTGCCCAAAATCGTGTGTTTGTGGAGACACATGAGTTAGAGTTTTCTCATCCTTTGAGCAGGAAAGTGGAAGAAAGTTGGTTGGCTTTTTAAAAATATAATGATATTTTAAGTATATGTCTGTCTGAGTCATGCAAAATCTCAGTGATTCCCCACAGTGAATAATATTGCTTAAAAATTACCTTAAATGTTCAATTGTTTGGTATTCCAATTCTGCCTCAAACTTTTGAGGAATGTACTTTATTCTGCTAACTATATTCCCTTCTATACTTGGTAGGCTTTATTTTTTTCCCCTCTTTGTCTATGTACTTATTTGCAAATGTTCAGTAGACTAATTAAGGTTTCTGAAGGTTTAACCTTGTCTTATACAGTAGATCCTGAGACTTGCCATGGTGTCAGCTCAGTAGGCTGGAGGGAAGGGTTCCAGAAAATATTGTGTAATATTGCCAAACAGGGCTTTGCTGCTGAAATTACTCATTTCACAGAGCTTAGGTCAATGTTAATGTGACAGGGAAGATTTAATCCTGTGGGAAAGTCTTTTCATCACATAGTTTTAAAAGAAATTTTATCACCTGAGTGTAAAGGGTACTTTGCTGTTTGTCTTTTACTTAATTGTTCTTTAATTTGTGAAAGAGAACTATATTTTTAATTAATTTCCAAACAAAAGCAAGTTATACACTTTGCTTATAACGGAGCACACTGGACTGATTCTGCATCAGCAGAGAATATTCCCCTGGTTTTGTGTAAAGGAAACATATTTCTGAAATAATTTAAAAAAAAATATAAGGGGAACCTTCCCACACTAGTTTTTTCCAAATTGCAAGACAATGACAGGTCAACCAGATGCTGCTCCCCTTGATGTCATGGTGTGATGCCATCAAACAGTGCAAGCTTCTGCTGATGTAACTTTTGTTTGATAAAATTGAAAACATTTAAAATGTCACTGATCTCACCTCATGGAACTATTGCTAGTCCTTCTACTTGAGATTTTGCACCCTAGTTCTGGAAGATTTATTATTTTCTCATAAGAGCTTCTAATTCCATTGTATTTGTGAGACAGAGATCTTCACTGGGTTTGCAGCACTAGAAAATAATAGAGGGCAGAATAATTTATGTTTTTTGGGTTTTTAATTGTCCAGATAGTAGATGATGCCATTACCCTGTGTTTGGGCCAAATACACAATATATACACGTCCTAGAGTAAAGATTTGTGCCAAAATTGCACCCTTGCCTATAGCATTGACAAACCTCAAAAAATATACAGCTAAATCAAAACTAAAAACTAAAAAAAATAAAACAAAAAAAAAAAAAAAAAGCAAGCAAGAAATAAATCCTCTTTTGTTGTATAATAGTGAAGAGATGTATCGAAATCCATAAATTAGGCAGAGCTTTAAATCCACATATAATTTCAATTACATACATCTGTTTCTCCTTAGGAAGAATGAAGTGAGGTCAACAGCTAAAAATTTTACAGCCATAAAGATTCTTGGATGCTTTTAAAGCCATATACATATGTGATTTGTAAGAAACCTATTTATATGTAAAATTTCTCATTTGAACATTCATTCTTTTTATTATGCAAACGCAAAATTTTTTGGAAGCTACAGGCTTCGAAGTGAAGTGAATGCACATATTTCAGCCCAATGGTATTGCTCTAATTTTTTTCCCTTTTAACCCCCTGTTTTTTCTGTTACCATGAAGAAAAATATCTGTTTAACTTTCAGACCTGCAGATTGTTGGGAATAGATGGGACATAGATTTTCCCTCAGAAAAGTATGTAAAAGGTTTCTGAGTTCTTTGACAAAAATAAAAATTAAAACCTTAAGGGAGGTTTTTGAGAGAAGCTGGGTGAGGGAGGAACATTATATGCTGGGACTCAAGGTAGAAGATTTTTTAAATCTTTGAATTATATGTAATTTGATGTATTTGAGTGGCACTTCCTTTCCTTCTCTCACCCAGTACCAGGCACAGCCTTGAACAGAGCCCAGTTCATTCAGCTGTGACAGTCTGGTTGTGACCCTGGTGATGTGTCATTCAGAACATCATTTTGCCAGTAATGTTAATAAAGCTGATGACTTTACTGATGAGGTTTTCAGTAACACAAAACAAAATGGAAATGCATTTTACATTCATCCTAAATGTACAATATAATGTATTGACCCTCCTTGAGCCTGCAGTCTTTTTGAATTCCTCAAATATTAAAAAGTGAGCAAGGACTTAAGTAAGCTTGCTCAACAATAAATCAAACAGGAAAGCAGAATCGCTTGGAATACATAATCGTAAAACCTTCACGCATAAAATAAAAAGCAAAATACTGACCTAAATTGTTAATAACAGAAAAAGTCTGTTAATACCTGTTGTATAAACCCCTAATCTTTACAGTTGTTAACAGAAACTGGAGTGCATGCATAAAAAACCTCTCTTCACAGCAGTGCTGTTATCCACATCAATCAAGATAATCCCACAGTAAAACCTTGCTAAAGAAGAAATGTGGCATATTTGGATAATGTCAATGATTAGAAAACATGTCCCAGAAAATGCCATGCAAAACAAGTTTAAATATTAATGCACACCTTCCTAACCCTTTTCAAACTGAGTCTCAAATTATTTACGTGGACCTCAAGGGCTGAACTCTGATTTCACTTCCACGTGTGAAACTTATCAAAGAGGACAATTTTGTTCTTTAGACCACACTATAAATTAAGTGCCTGGAAGGTTTTCATAGGGTGCATGGTGTGTTCTGGAGAAATCATTGAAAAAGACAGAATTACACACTAAACCTCTGTGAACAATCATGCCCTTATTTTCTGCCCTAGATTGATGGTAATTGAATATGATTTGCACTTGCAGGTTGGCACTCATGCACTGCTAATCACTTGGGAAAATACAGCACATTGAGCTCTCGAGTGTTATTCTGCTATTGTTTTTCAAGGCAATCAAAGAATTGGCTCTCCTCGTGTGCTTATGAGGAAGGTGGTATTAAAAAAATAGGTAATTGAAATAGAATTAGTTCAGCTAATTTTAGAGGGCTAGAGTTCATAAGTCTGGATCTTAGCTGTGATTTCACAAGTGTGGAGTATACTGTCTTATAAAATGTCTTTTTCTGTCCACAAACTCAACAAGACCTTCTTATGCAAAGACTATGTTGTAGCTATCCAGAGTTGGTGAGATGGATGTCACCAAAAGTTAAATTGAGCAAGGCACATTTCTGCAGAGCTTAGCAAAACTGGAGCTTTTTGAACTTTTTGGAGCAGTGCAGCAACCAAACCCTACAGAAACCAACAGGCATGGGAGAAACACAAAGGAAAGCATGAACATAGAGTGAAAATAATGTTCACACTAAAACATAAAAATTGTATAAAAATCTGTGTTTCAATAGGAAGGTGATTAACTTTGTAAATGGAACCCATCAATATTATAATTGTGGGATGAGAAGGCTCACAAAGTCAGAGCAGAATTCATTTTTCAACAAGTCCCCAGTTCAATTTAGCTCCATGAAATGTTGTGCGGCTTTAAGGATACAGCTGAAAACCTGGATGATCAGCTGGGTAGCCTCACCAACTAGGAAAGAAAGTGTGAGGAATTACACTATGCTAAAGCTGCCTGGAAAGACCACACGCAGAAAAAACTTGGGTTGGGGTTTGTTTTAGGTTTTAATTTTTAAGTAGAAGAAATATATTATCTCTGACCTCCTTTCTGGGAAGAAGAAAAAAGATATTAAAATATTTTATAATAAAAAAGTAGGATATTATTTGGTACAGGAGTAAGCATCCTACCTGTGGAGCTTCTAAACTGTGATTAAATAGTTTAATTGTTTTAATTTTAAAACCCCCAAACAACTAGGACCAAAAATTTGTAGAGCACCTTAATCACAAAACAGAGGAAAATATGATTCTGGCAGTGGGCTGAGCTGTAGGAATGCTGCTCTCACTTTGTGGTTCACTCTCTGGATGTTAACATATGACTTATAACAATGACATATAACTCTCTTTATGAATAACATGTGCTTGGCCTAGGTGGCTGCAGAAGGATGTAGGAGCCCCATATCTTCAAGAACATCCAAAATCTGGAGGTTTGTTTGTGTGGGCCTACGCTGATCAAATACAACCTCTTCTAAGAAGTGGGAGTGGACATGGAAGGTAAATCATGCTTCATTTCATAACCTTGTTCTTTTGGGCTTTTTTTAAATCCGTGGGGGCAAGGAGCAGTGCCAGGGCACGGTCACTGGCCCTGGGGCCAGCAGGTGGCATCTGGCCATGCTAAAAAACACTCCCAACATCAGAGGAGGAGGGATTTTATCCAAAATGCCTGTGGGGAGCACATCTAACCTAGTGGGCTGCACTGCAGCTGGTACTATCCAAAGAGTGCCAGTTCACTGCACCAAAGCTGTGACCAGGGCAATTTTAACAGTTTAATAACTGCAGAGAGAAAAATCCTTGTGAGTAGGAATGTTTTTGGCTCCTGAGTTATCTGGAATAGCTGTAGTGCTGGTGAACTGGGATTTCTGGCAGTATACACAGAAAGTTCCTTTAGGAAGCTAAGCACTTATGAAATGAGAAGAAATGTTTTTACTTGAGTGTCACTGTTTCTTAATCATAGTAATTATCAGCTGTGATGATTAATGCCTGGTGTAAAGGTGAGGTAGAGTATTATGAGTAATGGAAGTAGTTATGAGACATGAATGTTACCAAATATATGAGGATTTATTTCCTCAGAGAAAACTGTGGACGCAACGTGTACAGGAAAGAGGGTTACAGGGAGATCAATAAAAACATGTCATTACAAAGGTGACTGTGAACAATTTACTTAGGGAAGAATAGAACATTAATATAATGTTCTATTATAGAATAGAATAGAAGAATAGAGTTCTATTCTTCTATTATAGAAGAATAGAACCACCTGTTTTCAAGGAATAGGTCTACCATGTGCAGGAGGGAATATTTTTTTCATAAAACTGCAATTAAACTTTAGAACTTCGTTCCACATGAATAGAAGATAGGCAGTTCAGGAAATCCTTAAACTTCTGACTGCCAAAAGCAGTGATGATTGCAAAGCAGGACCAGTCTGTCCTTCACTTGTTTTTCCCATGTCCCCCAAGCATCAGCCACAGGCTGCAGCTGGAGGCAGGATTTAGCCACTTCACTCTAACCCAGCATCACTGTTTCTACTTTTCTGTAGCCCAGATCATGTGTGTGGAGAGCATAAAAAGGAATGGGTAACATTTGTTGACAGCATTTTATTATTTTCCTTTATCACCCTCTTGTCAGCAGCCTGAGATGGTTTTAGAACTCAGCAGAGCAAAGGAAACATTGCAAGAGGCATTGGAGGGGAAGTTATGATTCTAAAGCATTTGTTTGCCTCATTATGCTAATTTCTTTATTATCTCTGGGGTAGTGCAGCATCTTGATCCAGGTGAATTTACATTCAGCTCTTAATTCCATTGTTGGTGGATTCTCACTCTGTGAAACTGGGGTGCTGTTGTGAGAAGTAGTGGTGGAAAATAAAATCTGTGAGATTCTCAGCTTGTGGCATAATAAAGGCCGTCCAATTCTCCATGACACGGGGTTTCAGACACAGTGCCATAATAAATTGTCAGGGATTAAACCATGCAGCCCAACATTCACACACTTAGGCAGCAAAAGCAGAGTTCTTCTTTGCTTTTGCAAAGGACTTCTGCTGCTGCTGGCACAGAGAGGCTCTGCACCTCCTGCACACATCACCTCTGTGCTTTTGGGCACTCTAATTGTCACTCAGGAACTCTGTGAAATGTCCACAGGTAAGAATCTCATCCTTCAGTTTCCCCAGTTATAAAGTAAAAATCATTTTTAACTTGCCGAACGCTGTGGCTGTTTAAGTTGCCTTGAGATTTATAGATCAAGTACCTCAAAAAAGCACAAAATTTTCTTGTGTTCAGTACATAGAGCATAAAGACACTGTAAGTTGGGGCACAGATGGTTAAAAGAAAAATTAGTTTTTAGCAATTTCTGTAGACAACTGCCATTATCCTGTGAGGCACAAGTATTGCCAAATTATAAAACTAATTACAGATATTAAACTAAATATCAGTCTTCAAATCCTCTGTTGCCTTTTTTCTTCCTTTGAAGGCTTTTTATTATTTTTTCATTACTGTGGATACCTATAAAACTTTTAATTTGAATAATTTAAAAATTCGCATTTAATTTTATTATATTTCTTTTCATGTTACTTCAGTGTTGTCTTTGGGCTTTTAATTGATTTTTTTGTTATTGTCAAATACTTTGAAACTTCTGAAATGAACTGCATGAATAGAATAAGCAATGACCCAGTCTTAAGAGAAAACCAGCAATATTTTATTAAAGAGAATCTTTCGCAGAATTAAATCCTGTGATTTTAGTATTTCTTGAGCGATTACAATAGTGTTTGTAGCAGTTCTTATGGAAGTAACATATCTGCATCTATGGAGCAGGCATAGAAAATGCTGCAAATACATGCCTTTGATCTAAATGACAGAAATAAATTTGCCAGGGACACGGTAGAATTAAGCATGTTTAAACTGACCCATATTTCTTGAAGTGCAGGTAGAATATTTCTCTTTTTTATCAGGACCATTTGATTTACAGTATAAATAAAATTAATTTATATGCATAATACATGTAATATAATTTGGCACATTAACTCTTACGGATGGAGGTCAATATTTTATCTATCCCCTATTTTTTTTTCCTGTTCTCCAGTTAAATTTATCACAAGTCTGCAGGCATGACTTGCTGCTGCACATGGGCATGAACAATTAAGTTTTCAGTCAGAACTAGAGTGAGAGACTCCGATCCCACTGCACTCACTAAGCCTACATTGATAAGGCAGGAAGAAGCTCATGTGCAAGAAATCTGAAGTGAAGGTGCAAATCTCATGCTTGGCTGGTGTTTTGTTATCTAGGAATAAGTTGATCCTGAGTGGCATCAGAGAAGCTTTAATCTCAGTGTTTCTATTTCTTTTAAAACTATCCTAAATCTTTTGGACCCTTATCATTACAGGGAACCCAAATTTGCTAATGTTGTGATTTGACTTACCATTTCAGAAGGTTTTAAGCAATTTTGCAGAAACTGCTCATTAATATTCAAAGCTTTTTAAAAAAATCATAGACTTGTGCCTAATATTCAATGCCACACATTTTTGTTGCCTCTTATAGATCTGGAAGTCGGAGATGTGCTTTCTAGTTTAAAGCAGTCATATGCCTTAAATCATTATGATAAAATTAGAATATTGAAAATACCATCAAACTGGTGTTCGTTTTTTTCCCCACATATCCAAAGGCTCTATGATTCTAAAATAAATTGCGTATAAAATAATGATATAATCAGTCATTTTTTTTCAGTTAATCATTAAGCTTCTGTAATTGATTTTGAGCACAGCATACTGCTTGTTTGACTAGTACAAGGGCTGGCAATCAGGGTTTCTACAGAGCTAGAGTATTTTAAACTCCCTTGAGAAAGGAGGCAGAATAAATCTATAGTGTTGCTGGATTGTTGAGTGAATTCTGGCATGTTTAAAGAAGATGCTTCCATTGTCTGACCTTTCATTTGGTAGCTTCTGAACTACCTGGAGATACCCAGGTGCAGAGCTCCCACTCAGCACTGTCAGATTATGGAGCTTTCCTTTTTTAAATTTTATCACAGCGTTCCCAGTACTTTGGATTTGAGCTTAAACACGTGTGTTAGAAGTATTCAGGCTTTTTCTGCAGCCTGCAAGACCTGGATGCTGTCCCAGGGGATGATTCAGAGCAGGAATCTCTTGAGACCAACTGTCTAAAAAGCCTTCTGAGTCCAACTTAATACTTAACTAAATGGCTGTGTTGGGTTGCATTCAGAATATTATTCCTCCAACAATTCCAGTGCTAAGTGTTCATGGATACAGGGACTGCAGCAGTGCCAGAGTGAGTTTGCTGTGAAGGTATTTTTAATTATTTTCCCATTAAAAATATACAGACCCCAAAGAAATTTAAAAAAAAACCCTAATACTGTAGATACACAGCTGTGTTGCTGAAAGGATTACCAGAGTGATACAGGAAGAGATTATTGTGTAATACTTGATTTGTAATTATGGATCGTAAGATCCTGTCTGTACTCAGTTCTTAAATGCATAATTTATGAGTAAAGCCTGAGTAAGTTTTTCAGCCAATGAAAACAACAGTGAAATTGGAATTTTCGGGATTATGAGCACAATAAATTTTATGAACAGCTATAGCTTTTCAGTCTTTTTCTCCTTTAATAGAAGAGAGAGAAAGAAGTTCTTATAACCTAAAAAGTCAAGTAGTTGTATTTCCACTCGAGAGCTTTTATGGGAAGATGCAGTTTGACACAAAGCGTAGAATAAGCAAAACTGAGGTGAGATTTAGTTTAATAGACACGATGATCTGAAATCTCATTGTATTTAAACAGCAGAAGCAAATGAAAGAAAGCTCTTAAAAATTTGAGGGAAAATTACCAGTGCTTTTTCACAATGAAGTATTTTCTCGATGCTTTTCCATAAGCTGAAAAAACTTCCATTATGATTTTTTCAGTTTTCAGTACACATTGATGTTTAGAACACCTCAGTTCTTGCTCAAAGTTGGATGTACGTTGCATGAATCCAAAATTCTAACAATAAATGTGCTCCACTGTTGATTACTTTTTAAAAATAATGGATATGAAGCGTGTTGCTTGTTCAGAAAAGCCTCTGTTTTGAGATTAGTCAAAGTGATGTCAAGTGCAGTGATGAAAATTTCCTTAATGATCAAGAAACTTTACAGTGAGCTTGGAAGAAGGATGTGGGATAGAGAAGCACAGATGAATGAAAAACTTGAAAAAAAATTGTTGAAATTCACAACCATTTTTCTTAGTGTTTTCCTACAAGCATGGAATGTAAAAAAATTATTTCATTTCACAACCTAAAATATTGATTAGACCGGCCAAAAATTAAGGGATTAAAATTGGGCTTTACAATCTCAAATCAATATCTCACTTGTCAAAAATAATTTGAAAAATGTAAATCTCACTCAAAATTTTTCTGGAAGAATCAAAAGAAAAGAGGAAAGATGTGGAGAAAGGAAAGCAATAGGTGAGTCTCTTCATATTTGAGTCTGGATGGTTTGAATATTTCTTGAAAGTCTTCAGAAGTCTTT